AAAGAGAGAATACAGTTTGGATATTATAGGTACCTGCAAAATTCTGTATACAAGTTACTCTTGCCGGGTGTTGATCTAGTAAAAGCATTTGGAGGACTAACGTAATTACTCCTGGTAGGCTGGCTACCACTGCTGACGTTATTATTACTTCTAACGCCAGACGGAAAAGTTCTCGTGTATCGAGGCGGGGTCCACTGAAAAAGAATTCTATAATTAATTATAGCAATTACACAGTAAAAAAGGTGTCAGATCAACTCTTATATTTTCAAATTAATGCGTTCATTTTGTATATACGCAACAATCTATAATAATCTTCTTAGAAGCATTTAATCTTACATTCCAACAATATTACAATCTTATTTAAGAACTATAACTGTCGCTTCAAGAATATAATTATTTCGACAAAAAATTATTTTAAACAATAAAACTTAGAAGGCTTTGACGTGTAATCACAATTCGAAGGAATAAAGGATATAAGAGCCAAGACAGGATGTTAGTGTCTAAATGATTTTTTTTAATTTATTGCGAAAAATTTACCTCAGCCAGTATTTGAACCTGGATTATTTAAAATTATTTCAATCATTATAATCTTCGATTTGAAAATATACGTTATTTTCTATCCAATATTGTTTCCTTTCCACACATTCAAGGAAATTATTCTTAAATAATAAGCGAAAGGAGAGTTTGCTTATTGTCACCAGTAATGATTAAAAATTGAGACGGGAAACTTATAGTCAACCCAACTGGCTAGTTATTTAATCAGTTTATTACACAACGTTTCGACCCTATTCTTTTGGGTCCTTTTCGAGTGATACTAATGGCCGATTTTTTCACTTCCCGATAAAATTATCCGGAGGTTAATCTCAAGTTTTATCACGTGCATGGATCTGGTAGTTATCTCCCGTTTAACTTTAACTGTAACATAACTGGATGTGAAGAAATCGGGCATAAGTCAGTCATCGTCGATGTATATGTGTGAGCACTGTGGTAGCTGGGCTTGAACTGTCTTATTTGACGACGATGACTTAGTATCACTCGAAAAGGACCCAAAAGATTAGGGTCGAAATGTTGTGTAATAAACTGATTAAATAACTAGCCAGTTGGGTTGACTATAAGTTTTCCGTCTCAAATTTTAAATAATAAGCATATATTTTTCTTGATTGAATTATATAAAATTGCTTCATTAAAGTAAGTTTTTCTCCCTTTAACGCGATATAATCTCATTTCAAGATTTTCACGTTAAAACTAAATATATTTTCAAAAGAAGAATATTCCTTTATTCTGTATATATATATAGATATAGCTGAACTATTTAGATTCGGTATTCATAGTCAGATCTTATTATTCAAGACCATCGTGAATTTATCTAAAGATGCTGTATAAAACATTTCATTGGCTATGGAGTATCTAAAGATAATCTTAAGGTTTTGAATATATAAGATTTGACTATAAATACCGAACTAAGTCTTAACATTGGAGCAAGCAAAATAATTGTTTCAAATAATTCCATACAATGCATACTATAAAATCCACATCTGGTTCAGGTAATGGTCGTTTTTAACCGACATTTAATAAAACAGTCAATATACGTTTATCAATATACGCGTGGCAACAATTTCTTTCTATGAAATATAAAGTACCAGTAAAGTGATTACTTTTTTTGGTTGTGGTCGTATTTTTCGTCGTATCTTTTGTCGCGAAACCAGTTTCGTGAGATGCGCCGTCGTCTTGGAAGGCACGGCTTCCACAAACAATTCTCCATTTTTTTTTATCACCGCAACATCCGGTATGCTACGTACGAAAGCTTCCACAGAAGAATATCCGAATTGTTTAAAGGGTAATAGCTCCCCTGTTATTACTTGATAGTCCCCTAGAAAGTAAAAATCATTAATTATATCAGTCTTTAAGAATGATTGATTAGAGTAAAAGACATTCAAATGGAAAGTATATGAAGATAGTAGAGTGCGTTAAAGCATAAATAGTTGTATTTAAAATTGCTTCGTAATAACAGAATTGACAATATTTACTTCTCAAGGCTTCCAACCGGATGCCACCTTTACAGGAAATCAAACATGACCGTAAATTCTTTATAACTTCGTCCTTTTTATTATCCATGATGAATCCCTCTTATGAAAGAAAGAACTCAGGTAGAATACGGATATTTAAATCTCAGTCGTGCTGACCACCTGCAACAGATTTTAATCAATGTATACAATTAAATTATATGGTAAAACACGAGGCTCTATATTAATAAGATTCACGAAAAAAAAGATTGCAAACGCAGTCAGGATTTCCGAGTACGAAAGCAACAAAAAGATAATGCGGCATAAACAAAGGCGGGGAGGGGGGGAAGACACTTGTTCGCAGCAACTGATCTTTTAAATTACATCTCGTTAAATCTTGATCACTGTGAGGAAAACTCGAAATAGATTCAACGCAAGGCAAAATAACGTAAAACCTGTAGGAAAAATGTAAAAACAAACCTGGAAGAGCCACTCATGTGGAAAGAAATGTCTGGTTGACGTGAAGAAATCGACAAGATATGAAGAGTGTACCACACACATTCCTAGTTTCACAGACATTGGTTAACTGTTAACCAGAGTTCAAGTGTCAACTCCCTACCTTTTTCTATCTTATTATCTAAGAAGAGGCAAAGAATCAATTAACCTTCGGTTAGCAGTTAACGTTTGCGTGCGAAATTAGCTGTTGCTAGAGTATGTTCATTTACATTTATATTTGACGTAGATGTACAATAACCAGACAACATGACGATACATGAAAAGGCGCTCCCTAAGAATAGAACTAATAATCAGCAATGATCAAAACTTGTCCTACACACGTCATTCACGCTGCCATTTGTTCCTTCTTAGATGAGAGAAAGGAGGAAGAAAAGCTGCGAGATATTTCTGCAGCGACGATCGGCAACACTCCGTGAAATTAAATCAAAGTCTTGGGCGCTTTATTCACCTGCCCTTCTTCGATTACTTCTCACTCGTGAACCTTGTTGTCCTTTCTATCACCTAAGAAATGACGGGGTGGGGGTACAACAAGAGAGCCGGCGACACGCCGGGACGCAAACACACCGTGGAAGGCAAACCTTAAGAAAGCTGTAGTCCCTACGAACTTGACACTGCGGACACCTTAACACACAGTGATATCTTACACTCATTGCCAGCGATAAACTAAGAAACACACCGTGCAACCGCCGGAGCTTCCTAATGAGACGGCATTCCGCTGAGTCGGCGACGAGATAAACATGGGGAGCTTTCCAGCAAGCGACACAAGTCGACATAAATGTCGTTCTGTTTTTCTTCGCATTCAATGAATAATAAAGACAGAACGACACTTGTGTCGACTTGTGTCGCTTGCTGGAAAGCTCCCAAACACGACCTCGCGAGCGGCAAGAAACGGTCTCCGTCTGCCGTACTAGCATATGCCGCGGTCCGGGCGGCGGGTTCAGGATCGGAAACAATCGAGCGAAACGGCACTGCCCGCGGCAAGCCGGTTACGATACCAGGCGGCGACTAGAACGGGGTCATTGGCGCGCTTTTAGAAAGGGGAGGACGAGTTACGTGCGCCAACGTACCTTCTCTTTCTCGTCGCTGTCGCTGTGCTGGACGACGACGAGCCCTCGGTCGTCCCGCCGTCGCCGCCGCCGTCGCCGTCGCTGTCCTCAGGAGCCCGCGCTCGCGCGAACGCAGACGAAGCTGAACCTGAACCAGGTAGCGACCGCCTCCTCTCCCTCGCGCGTTTCTCTTGTTCTCGCAGCCAACAAGTCCCACGATGGTTCGCGGAGAAGACACGCCACACCACTGACCACACACTGCCACACCAGCCACACACGACGTCACACGACTGCCGTTATGCCGTAACCATGGTGGAA